TCTCCTCCCCCGGGGCCCTGATCTGCTCCACATGAAGGCACTGGGGGACTGTTGACTCGGGCTGGTCTCCAAGGACACAGAAGCAGGGGTCAGGCTGACACTCAGCGTGAAGGACGAGCCTATTTCCCAATTCAGGTGTGCTCTCACAGCAGCAGGTAATTACACAGAATCCAGGAGGCAGCCTCCATCCTACACATCAAGGCTGTTCTATTCCTGGGCTGAGGAGGTAGAGTTAGTGTCCCCCTGTCCTCACAGGGCTGACCCTCTCCCTCCGTGTTGCCCACAGTGCTGGACGTGGTGGAGGTCACAGAGGCTAGTGTGGTTGGGAGCAGCCGTTTGTGGCTGTGGTTCGTGCAGGACTTGTGATGCTGTCCCTCCTCTTATCAGCTCCATGTATCCCTTTTGCAGAAGTGAGTGAGACAAGATCTTCTCTGCATCTCACATCAAAGCTGCACAGATGGTAGATCTTCTCTTATCGAGGTGGAATGTGATGGGGGCCCAGTGTGAACCAAATGCATCTAAGCCTGAGCTTCTCAACTGAAGCTGATTCCTGCCCAGCTTCTTCACAACGCCCTGCCTACCACCTCCCCTCAACATCCCCACCAACATGACATCTCCCCTGGGGGACATTTACCAAAGCCTGGAGACATGTTTGGTTCAGAACTTAGAGGAGAGGAGGATGTTGATATTGGCACCTAATGGGGAGAGGCCAGGGATGCTCTAAACACCCTGCGATTCAGCATGTTTGTAGTGATTCTGAAGAGCCCTAAAGATGACTCAGAATTGATGATGAAGGCCCGGAAGGGTCTGCTATACTTTCTTCTTTGAGGTGGACATAGGGGTCCTGCCACTCCAGGGGACCCCTTTCTCTTCTTTTTATCCCTACTGTCTTCACTGTATCCTCTCTGTCTCTTTCACACACACACCACACACTGACCTCTTTCAAAGCTGCTGGAATGCCTGATGCTGGGAGAAGAGAGAGGAGCCACACACTCAGGTCTGGAAGCCAGGTGTTCACTGAGATTTATTGGGAATTCTGTGACCTGAAGGGGCCTTCCTGAGGATTAGGGGCGTGATGGGGCTTTAAGGGGAAAACCAGAGGCAGATCCAGGGTGAGTGGCACAGAGAACCTGCTGGAGTCCTGCTCTGGTTTCCCCTCAGGATGGCCCAGGTTCCCAGTTAATTCTCGTTCAGGACCTTGTCGATCCAGGGCCGGTAATGGGAGATCCGGGTGAAGACGGCAGGGGTTTTGCATTGGACTGTCCATAGGAGACAATGCCCTGGGCCACCCCAGCACACAGAAGAGGGCCCCCCGAGTCTCCCTGTGGGACAGAGAAGGAAAGGGAGAGAGAGAAGGTGGGCTGGGAAACCACCCCCTCCTCCGTGTGGTCCCAACTCTGAGTTGGTCGGACCTGCCATCAGGCTCAGGAACACTGGCTCCTCATGAGGTGATATGTCTCTGATGCTGTTTCCTTTCCTTCCTGGCACCCCCTGACCCTGGACAGCACCCCCTGACCCTGAGCAGACCCTGGTCAGAGACCCCATGGGGCCGAGGGAGGAGGATCTGCAGAGGGACAGTCTTAGTCCTCAGACCTGAGCTCTCACACTTGGTCACTGGCTGACACTCCAAACTCCGTCTCCTTCCAAAGGTGTCTGCACCGTGGACAGTGATTTGTGGGGAAGTATGTAGTCTGAGAATCACCTTAAATGCAGAGTTTGTGCTCTGAGGATGGCCCACACACAGCTGAAGACTGTGGTCAAAAGCAGGGAAGTGGCTGCAGGCCTGGGGCTCCACTATTCTCAGCTTCATCTCTTGCAGAGTGCTGGAGGTTGGTTCCTTCACATCTGTTTTTCCCCAGCCAGCCACCCAGCACATTCTCCCGGGACGGATGAAGGTGAATTGGGGTAGAAGGGGGAATGTCCCCATGGCCAGGGTCAGACTGGCTTTCTCCTTCAGCTGTGAAGGAAATGGGGGCTGTCAGTGATGGAAACGGGCTTGGGGCCAGGTGGGGGCAACCAGGGAGGGACAGGGCAGCTGCTCCACCTGAGAGCCACTTGCAGAGGCTGAGCTGAGGGCTGCTGCTGAGAGGCAGGTTGGGAAAGTGTGAGGGTAACGGGACCTGAAGCAGAAGTCTTGGAGAACAGGGAGCAGGGAGTAGAGAAGGAAGCTCTAGAGAACAGGGCATGCGTAGGGGAAAAAGAATTTGCACCTTCAGTAAAATGATGAACAGAGAAGTCGAGTCCTGCTAATGGGATTGTAGATATAGAATGATTTGTTCAAAGGATGCTGGGGTTCCTAATCTCACAATAGGAATCAAGCTTGTTTGATTGAAATAGAATATACACAGATGTCAGGATCTGAGGTTTGCCTCTGTTTTCCCATCACAACCTTGGGAATTATCATTACCATTGCTTTACTAATGTAGAATGTAGACTCAAACATATTAACATGATTCAAATAGCAAAACTCATAACTATTATAACTGAGTTTTCAAGCACATCTCCTATGTTCCCCAGATTTCAGAGTTCTAAAAACCAAACCTATGTCTACTCCTGTGATGGCTTGCAATACATTTTCAATTCCCAGCCTGGTAGGTCTCTTATGTAAAGTAAGGCATATTTGGGATTCTGAAAATTGGGAAAGGAGTGTATCTGGGCAGAATCTGATGAGTCTGGAATCTTGAACTTGAAAATCCTTCCAATGTTCCTTTGCAGTAACAGCAGTCCATCCCCTCCAGTCTCAGAGGTTAGTCTTTTCTTGCTTGAATGATCTCTAATGGATTCCCTGAGGGAGTTACTCTGCAGGTTGTTGATAGGTTGCTTGAGAGAATAATAAATTAGTCAATAGTGATCATGTTTAAGAAGAGTCTGAATGAACTCCAGGTTCTTTAGTGGGGACTAATGCATGGAAACATGGAGAAGGTCAATGAGGCTTGATCTTGAAAGTTCCATTCATGTTGGAGTTTTCCATGATGGTAAATCTTTCTTAGCAGTCACAGGATGCAATGAACACTTCATTTCCTGAAATCACTGGTTTTGTCTATATAATTCATTTTGCCACTTAGATGAATACCAGACACCTATGCCTGTTTCATGTCCAAGAGAGAGAAGAGAATAAGGTATAGATTATTTGTTCCTTCTGTACTTTAGCTGGAACCCATCTGTGGTTTTCTAATGTTTAATTCACTTGAAAGTTTCCCTTTGCTTCTGACCTTCATTGTGTTACGCATGCATGCTAAGTAGCTCCAGTCATGACCTTTTCTTTGCAACTTTATGGGCTGCAGCTTGCCAGGATCCTCTGTCCGTGGGATTCTCCAGGCAAGAATACTGGAGCGGGTTGCCATGCTCTCTTCCAGTGTGTGGCCATGATCTTCCTGACCCAGGGATTGAACCCACATCTCTTACATCTAACCTGCATTGGCAGGCAGGTTCTTTTCCACTAGCGCCAGCTGGGAAGCCCCATTGTGTTATAGTCCTTAGTTATAGGACTCCTAGGCTCTCTCCCTTATGCCTAAGGATGTTTGCTTTCTTTCTTTCTCTCCTTTGTTTCTGTAGTTATGTACACATGTATGTATGTGTGTATTACTGTGCTGGTGCTTGAAGGCATTGGTGAACTAAGTAACTAGCAGAGCAAAAGGTAGAGAGGAGGTGGAACCCAGTGTCTCCACGGGAGAACTCCCTCTGGGGTGAATGATGGCAGAAGAGTTTCTTGTTTCGCTGTCTCACTTCACTTGTAGGCTCACTGCACACCTGAGAACACTTGGCTTGGTGTCAGTCCCTGCCCTGTCTCATCTCCTCTCACCAGTCTCTCTGTTTATCCAGTAGTCAAGTGAAGCTGTCTCAAACCATCCCTTTCCTGTGGGTTTGGGTAAAGTCTTTTAAGTCTGGCATACTTCTCTAGTAAACCTTGCAATGCTGTCAGTCTATCAGCAACCAGCATCAGCCAGGGCAACAAAAGAGTTCTGTGTACGTTAGAATCGGATCTGTCCATGGGGATCTTCTCTTACCTGTCAGGGGAAGGCTGTATGACATCAACTGTTTCTCCACCCTCCCACATGCTTCCATGAAGCTTGTTCGATAACGGTTGCTGCCAGAATGGAGTCAGGACGTTGCTCTGAGTTAGCATGGCCAGAGTCTGAGGGCCTGACTTCAAGGGTTTCTTTTATGCTCTCCAATGTGTTGCTTCAATTAACTGAGGGGATGCTACTCAGGACTCTTCCTTTAGCCCTCCAGGATGTGAATCAATGTTTTATCAAAGAATGATTCTTCTTTCTAGTTTCTCCTTATTCCTGCATTTCCTTATCTCTTAACACAACCAAGCAGAAAGAAACTTCTCTTTCCCCTACATGCCATACATGTCTGATGTAATTTTGAATGTTTGGCTGGTCTGTTGATACTGCCATGATGGAGGGGTGTAAGCGCCAAGATCTCTTGGGAAGGGTTGATTTTTTCAGTGCTTATAAGAATGTTATAAAAGGATGAGAGGAGTGGATCTCCTAAGACAAGTATGTGTGCTTAGTCACTCAGTCATGTCCAGCTCTTTGCAACCCCATGGACTGTAGCCCACTAGGCTCCTCTGCCCATGCAATTCTCCAGGCAAGAATACTAGAGTGGGTTGCATGCCCTCCTCCAGGGGATCTTCCCAACCCAGCGATCGAACCCAAGTCTCCTGCATTGCAGGTGGATTCTTTACCGTCTGAGCCACCAGCAAAGCCCAAGACAAGTATCTCTGAGTTAAATGCAAATTCACATTGTCAAGACTTGGCAAAGAATTACCTTTTCCTTCCAGAAACCTTATTTATAGCTTGCATTTGGGAACAAGATGGATTACATTAAGAGCTTGGAATCAGACTGCATTGGGATCCTGCTGGGATCCCTTACCAGCTTTGTATTTTGGGAAAATTTCTTCATCTTTCTTAGGCTCCCCCTTCCCATTCATCTGTAAAATGGGCATAAGAATGATGAGGATTAAATAAGAGATGAGGGGTTAAAGCATCAGGTATAGTAAGTATTAAAGATACTTATTACTGTATTAGCATCATTAGCCCCCAAGCTTGAGTACCCTTCCCAACAGTTTGTGTACCTCTGCATTTTAATTGGTACATTTAGACCAGTATTTCAAATCCTAAAAGATGATGCTGTGAAAGTGCTGCATGCAATATGCCAGCAAATTTGGAAAAGTCAGCAGTGGCCACAGGACTGGAAAAGGTCAGTTTTCATTCCAATCCCAAAGAAAGGCAATAACAAAGAAGGCTCAAACTACCACACCATTGCACTCATCTCACACACTAGTAAAGTGATGCTTAAACTTATCCAAGCCAGGCTTCAGCAATACGTGAACTGTGTACTTCCAGATGTTCAAGCTGGTTTTAGAAAAGGCAGAGGAACCAGAGATCAAATTGCTGGATCATCCAAAAAGTAAGAGAGTTCCAGAAAAACATAACAGTGGAAACAGCAGCTGACTTAATTTTCTGGGTTCCAAAATCACTGCAGATGGTGATTGCAGCCATGAAATTAAAAGACACTTACTCTTTGGAAGGAAAGTTATGACCAACCTAGATAGCATATTAAAAAGCAGAGACATTACTTTGCCAATAAAAGTCCGTCTAGTCAAGGCTATGGTTTTTCCAGTGGTCATGTATGGATGTGAGAGTTGGACTGTAAAGAAAGCTTAGCGCCGAAGCATTGATTCGTTTGAACTGTGGTGCTGGAGAAGACTCTTGAGAGTCCCTTGGACTGCAAGGAGATCTGACCAGTCCATCCTAAAGGAGATCAGTCCTGGGTGCTCATTGGAAGGACTGATGTTGAAGCTGAAACTCCAAAAATTTGGCCACCTGATGCAAAGAGCTGACTCATTTGAAAAGACCCTGATGCTGGGAAAGATCGAGGGCAGGAGGAGAAGGGGAAGATGGAGGATGAGATGGTTGGATGGCATCACCAATTCAACGGACATGGGTTTGGGTGGACTCTGAGAGTTGGTGATGGACAGGGAGGCCTGGCATGATGTGGTTCATGGGGTTGCAAAGAGTCAGACACGACTGAGCAGCTGAACTGAACTGAACTGAGACCCGTAGTATTCAAAATGAGTATTGGCATAATATCTACCATACTTGTTATCATTTTCTATTTGTTGCCCTTGTTATTTGTTTCTAGCCTGTCTCTAACCCTTTTCTGCCTTTTCTATTTCTATTTTTATTTTTTTAATGTATGGTTTATTCCTCTAAGAATGGAAATTAGTGCTGCATTTCTGAAATAAAGGAAAAAGGAATGCTCTTCTGCTTCTGGAAGATGTGATGGCTCCCACCAGTTATAGGCGGGCGTCAAGTATGGCACCGACTTGTTCCAAATGTTTATAGTGTTGTTCAGGTCAGACCCATGAAGTATTTTGATCACTGTATTATTTTAATATAGTCACTGTAACAAAATACTACCAACTCAGTGGGTTAAAGAGGCATCCCAGGTGGCGCTAATGGTAAAGAACTCACCTGCTGATGCAGGAGACATAAGAGATGTGGGTTCAATCCCTGGGTCGGAAAGATATCCTGGAGGAGAGTGTGGCAACCCACTCCAGTATTCTTGCCTGGAGAATCCCAAGGACAGAGGAGCTGCTTCTCTGTGGTCGCAAAGAGTTGAACACAACTGAAGCGACTTAGCACACATGCACAGTGGGTTAAAACAGTACTCATTTTTTCTCTTACATTTCTGGAGGTCAGAAGTCTGAAATCACTTTCACTACCCCAAACTGAGGTGTTGGCAAGGCTGCACTCCCTCCAGAGGCTGATAACTATTCCAGCTTCTATAGTGGCATAGCTCGCATTCCTTGGCTCATGGTCCTTTCCTCTATCTTCAAATCCCACAGAGGTTTGACTTTGCATCTCTCTCTCTCTTTCTCTCTCTCTCTCTCTGCTGAGGTTGTCACATGGCCTT